GACACACACACACACACACACACACACACACACACACACACACAACACACACACACACACACACACACACACACACACACACACACACACACTCCGCCACCAAGTTCCACGCCTGGCCATCCGGAACGGCGTCGGTGTCCAGGAGCGACTTGCCTTCCGCGCAGACCTCCAAGCTCCTGCATCCGGTCGCCATGAAACGTCAAGTAAATAATCAAACTTCACAAACATCGGAAAAATTTGGAGCCAAGATGGAATTCGGTGTTCAAATGTTTGCTTATTCTAAAAAAGCATCCGAATATGTAATTCATCATCACAAACATCGGAAATTTGGAGCCAACATGGAAATTGATGTTCACATGATTTTAAACCAAAATGGAAAAAATGAGGAAACAAACTACTTATTCACCTGCCTTCCGCCCAACATGCCTTGTGCTTTGCGGTTTTTCGCGAAGCGCCTGGGGTTCAGGTCCAGCTGCTCGCCCAGCTCCGCTTTCAACTCCGACACCTTGGCCCCTGCCTTGGTCTTCACCTCAGGATTCGCAGCTCGGGGCAACAGCCAAGCCACTGAAACTCTGCATATCAAAGAGCCTTAGGAAATGTTTGCCAAGCTAACATGGCTTAAAACAAATCATATTGTCCTTTTTGGTTGGTTGGTTGGGAAACTTGCCAAGTTCATCTTGTTTAATTGTGCTTTTCTTCCCATTTAACTCATCAGACTCATTCTGGCTCGCAAAAGCAACTGAGAGAGGGTGAAACCTTGCTAGAAGAAAAAACACCTTCTGGTGAACAAGATTTCTCCAAAGGCCCTGGATAGACAATATATAATGGAAACAAACCACCGGAACTGGACACACGTCCTGCCTGCCCAAGGTCTTAGGCTTGTGCCAGAATAGGAATGGTGGGGTTGCTTTGGGCTTCCCAAACACACGAAAAGGATTTCCCCTCATTAACTACCACGGGCGGCCTGAAAGCATAACACAAAGTAAGCATTGGCTTCAAGCATTTCTGCGTTCGCACGTTTGTGCGAGGTGCTGCAGCACATGACTAGTGTCAAAACTATTTTGGTCATACGCAAGATCTCCACGCAAGTTTCTCTTCGCCAGTTCTGCGCGTAAATTATGCGCGCTCGTAGGCTCTGCGCACGCTCGCTGCGCAAGATCTCTGCGTAAACTTCTCCGCCCAAGTTCTCTGCACAAGTTTCTCTGGACTAGTTCTCGTCTCAAGTTTACCCGCTCATGCTTCTCTACACAACCTGTCTGTGCACCTTGCTCTTTGCAATTTTGTTTGCTCAAGTTCTCAAGTGCGTTGCGCACGTTTCTCTGCGGGCAAATCAAAAGGTAGCAAGAGCCCCCAGATTATTGCACCTTCACAACTCCGATGCGGGCGGAGGGCTGCGCGCGCTGCAACACAAATAGCAAAACCTCGATTTGTTAAACCTCGTCCACGATTATTGGAACCTCGGCCACGCCAATTCGGCATTTTCGTAGGGTGGGCTTAGTCCTATGTTAGTTTAGTTTTGAGTCCACACGCTGCGCATTCTCTCCCACAATGTGCTCGCGCAGTTTGCTGAGGGTGTTCTCTCGCGCAATTTGCCGCGCGTATTCTCTCTCGCGTGTTCTCTGGCGCAATTTGCTGCGCGTGTGCTCTTGTGCAACTCACCCCACATGTTCTCTCTGCGCGTGTTTTTCGTGCAATTTGCTGCGTATGCTCTCTCTCTCTCTCTCTCTGTCTCTCGTGCAACTTGCTGCGCTCTCCCGCATAATCTGCTGCGAGTATTCTTTCGTGCTCTTTGCTCTACATGTACTCTCGTGCATCTTGCTCTGCAGTTGCGCTCGACATGTGCTCCCTCTGAACGAGGTGATCTCGTGCATCTTGCTCTGCATGACATCTCATCAAATGTTGCTGCGTGACATGCCGAACGAGTTTACTGCAAGAGCTTTTCGCAATGCCTCGGGGGAAACAAAACACATTGTTTGGTCCGGAGAACCCTTTTAGACGATTGCGCCAAAGCCACCTCCACCTCCTTCCCCGAGGCAAGCGTCACCTGGCAAGCGTCACAAGTTTCTTCTGGCAAATGGAAGGACACACCCACCCCCTTTTGGCTACAACTTAAGTTCAAAGTCCCTCAAAGGTCAGAGGTTGCTTTCACTGACAAGGTGCTGCACCTTGAAAAAGGCGAAGGATTCAGCTCACTAAAATTAAAGACCCGCTTCACTGGCTGTCCCGTTGAAACAACTTGTCGTCAAGTTGTGCGGTCGCACTTTCTGATGGTTCAGCCCAAGTGAAAAGGTCTCGGCCAAAGTTGCAGAGAAGTGGCCGCTTAGAAGGCTTTTTGTCTTACCCTTTTGAGCAACCATGCCTCAATCCAGAAACAAGTGGCAGCAAGTGCAGAATAGAAGATCCGCTAGGGAGGAAACGCGTGTCCGTCAGCTTCCCCATGCCAATTGTGTCGTTTTGCCCCTGCCTGCACAGGCATGGCAAAGAGGACACACGGCTATCTGGCTGGCAACAAATATCTGCGGGAGAGCCGGTGAATGCATGTGGCACGGCAAAAACTGCTGATTAGGCGTGCGTGTGATTCTTGCAAGGGTGCTTACTGAGCAAGGGTCCAGACTATCGGAAGATGGGCATGATTTCCTTGAAGATCTTTCTGGTCAAGAATGGCTGGCTTCCATAGCGTTGAGAAGGGCTAATACACGCGCAATGGCATGATCCAAACACACGAGTGTGCACATGGAGGGAAAACCTCACAGCCACCAAGCTGAAAGCATGATGGCAGTTTTGTCATGCTGTCCACAAACATCAATCCTGAATGATGCAATCAACCGGATACCAGTGCAAATACATTTTGCATGAGTCAACTTCAAAGGATCTGCAATGATAAACAACGTTCAAGGATGGCCAAGTTGAAACCAATGAAGTGTTCTCACCACCACCGCTTGCTCTGCCGCCAACCTCTCACCGCCTCTGACGCGGTACTGCACCGTTTGAGTCCCCGCACCGACGTCGTGGGTATTGTCTTTCATCCGGATCATCGCCTCCCGCTGTCGGCGGAGATCCTGCACCGGCCAAATCTCCGGAAGCAACAGATCTACGGACTCGGGACTCGTCTGTCAGCAAGTCAGCAAGTCCACTCAGCACTGGCATATCAAACTAAGCTCAACAGAGAACTACAACCATCGCCTGGTGAGTCAGTGATTCAAAAACAAAAGAGGAAAGCGCACCAGAAATGACTCGCATGCCAAAGGGCACGGCCTTGAAGCAAACAAAACGTGCAATGGGCTCAGCTCAACACTTGGCAGTTCCAGAAAGCGCAGTGGCCGAATAGGTTGGGTCTCTGCCGATTTGCGACTGTCCCAAACCCAATGTTTTGCTTGACTCAGCAACATGCTACGGCCCTGAACTTGGCAAGAATGTGAATGCACTTGTTTGCAAAGTGTCTCGAGTGGCTGACGTCACCAAAGTGAGGGCCTGCCCTCTAGCCGGGCGTCCAACGTTCAACCAGCCAATGGGATCCGCATGCGTGAGCACATACCCTGTCTATAGACTCAACCATCAAAGACACTGTCAATGTGATTCCGGCAGAGCTGTTTTTTGACCCTACTCATCCAACAGCCCACAGCTTTTGGATGCTGTACAGCACGGATACTTTGTGTGTCTCTTTCTCTGAGGGTATGGTCAGAAGGGAAACCAAAGGAAACCACTCACTCCAGGCCTGCAAGGCTTGCACCCCGATTTCCTGGCGCTGGGAAATCTGTGGCTCGCATCGGAAAGAATGTCACCCCGGTGGGTGACATGGGGCGAAACCAAAAAACACAAAACGTGGGGGTGTGCAACAAAAAACGGGGCCCAGCGTGGCTTCGTTCTGACTTCACTTCAAAACCAACCAAGAGGGGGTTTTGGGGGGGGTGGAGTTTGGGAAACCCGCAGATTTGCCCAAAGAGGTACAAAGAAAGGCATCGCGCATACAGAAGTGGCGTGATGGTGGTTGCATACAGGTGTGCAACCAATATTGGAAGCGTCCGCAAGTTGGCCTACCTTTATGTCCTGCGCAAGTTTGGGGACAATCCTCTGCACTCTCCCTTTGAAACCACCTTACTATTTAAATTACTGGACCTCCCCCCACCTAAAAGTGATGCTTACCAGGAAGGCACACCACGTGTGTCCAATCAAAAAGAGTGGCAAAGGACAACCCTTTGCCCAGCTTTGTGGCGGTTTCTTCTTCGGTCAGGAACATAACATCCTTCATCCTTCCAGGGAGGGCTGTGCCTATTCAATCCCCAATATTCAATCCTCAGTAGGGCAGTATCCAAGGATTGCCCCAGCCCCGTCCAATCTTCCGCTCGAAGTTTTGCTGTGGAGCATTGGACAAATTGAGGTCTTTGCCGCACATGGGACAGTTTGCCCTCCCCGGCACCTCTGTCTCTGCTGAGATCTTGTTGGCCTCCTTCAGGCGATCTGCGCCTCCGGAAAGGATCAAACTGCTCACCCGAACAGGTCGTGGAAGCGCATCGTCTGCACAAAAGGTTTCACCCGGCAGTTCCCTTCCCTATTGCAGGCCCTTAGATGGGTTGGTTTGGGTCCATTTAGCCTCAGCAAGGGACTGACATTCAGGCAGCTGGGCGGGTTTAGGGTTGACTTGGAGCTGATTTGTGTTAGTTGTGCTGCTGGTTCAGCGGTGGCTTTGAAAGGGGAGCCCAAAACGCACTTAACCGCATCCTTCTGCAATCCTAAAGCCACCGCCACCCCAAACCCACCCAAAATCACCCCTAAACCCGCCCAACAGCAGCCTGGTCAGCCCTTTGCTGAACCCCAAACCAACCCAAGACCCAAGACTTCAGCAAGCCCAAAACCCCCGCAATTAATCCAGCCGCAAGCAACTCTTTCAACTGCGACCGAATCAGAGCCAATGGGCAACCCTAGGTCCAAGTCGTTGGCTGGCTGGCTGGCTGGCTGGCTGGCTGGCTGGCTGGCTGGCTGGGTGGGTGGGTGGGTGGGTGGGTGGGTGGGTCGGTGGGTGTGTTTGTTTGCGGGTTTGCGGGGTTGTGTGTTTGTGCGTTTGTGAGCGTGTTTGTGTTTGTGTCTGTGTGACCTCCTGGGTTTCGCTCACAGGCTGGGGCCTCGACATCCTTTATTTTCGATCGCAAACACTCAAATCTTGGCCACGTAATCTCCCAGACAAGGACCTTCCACACGCGTGAATTTCACTCGCGGCATTGTCATCGTCAATGATCCATAGCCATGTTCAATGTTCATCTGTCCATGTCCACCATCATCATCCACCTGCGAGCCTATGACCAAACAGCAAGCTTCTGCTCAGGTCGACACAGCTCCATGCCATTTCGGCTGAGAGCCAAGTCGTCCGTCGCGCTTCCGCTCTATCAGCATGCAGCATGAGGAGTAAATTTCAGAGTGTTGAACCTTGATCAACCAATCCCTCCAGTACCGCAATGAAGCAAGGGAGAAAAGGAACACCTTCTGATTAGAAAGTGGAGGGGTGGTAAATAAGGGTTCTGGTCCGCAATCCGAAGGGTCTGAAAGAATCTAAAACCAGAGGCCCCCAATGCAATATAATACGTGGGTTTCAAAAATCCGAACTTGGGGATGTAGTTTGGAAGCCAACCCTTGGCATTTGTTCATGGTCCGCCTTGAAACCGCAAGCCTTAATTCACGGACTTGATCCATTTCATGCTCCATGAATTGATCAACCGTTGCTTCCCCCAGGGTCCTTGTTGAGTTCTGTGCTGCGGACGACGTCTAGGAAACCCAAAGGAAACTGCGGGAAACCATGAAACCCATTCGAGTCACAATCAAAAACCTGGCATTGAAATGGTTCTACCCAGAACCCTGCAAAGAATTACAAGGCGGCTGCGCCCCTGGATTGTGGCCCATTGCTCCGGGTCAACGGGGGCCCGACCACTCCACTCCCCCCCCCCGAAGCCCCGAAGCACCTCGCTGAAGGGAAGAGGTCACCGCGGCGGCCTTGCGCCGCTCCTCCCGCGCCAGGAAGAGCCTGGAGAACAGACGGAGACGCCGCTCGCAGATCCCCTGCGAACAGTTCGACTGATATCGCGGGTGTAGAAACCAACCACCAAACCCACTGAAAACGGCGTAGAACCAAACGACCAAACGACCAAACCCTCTAAAAACGGTGTAGAAATTAACACCAAGCCCACTAGAAACAAGAAGTGGTTGTTTCAACCTGAGGCAGCTCAGTTTCGAGGACATCCGGGGGGAATCTCAGGCATCGGAGACACCAGAAACGGCGGCTCTTGGAGCATTGCGCGCAACATGGTGGCATGGGCGTGGGATTTCTGGGAGGCCTTGAATCACCATGGCCAGGTCGTTCTGGACGTCACGAATCCGGCAGAGGCCATACACTGGAATGGGAGTGGCAAGGTTATTGCAGCTACCCTCAGCTTTGCTTGTCAACCGTTCTCGTCCCAAGGCTTGCGCCAGATGGGCGATCAACGCGCTGTGGCGGTTTTTGGGGGGCAACACACCATTTCCATGTTGCAATGTCAGGCTCGAGGCAGGAACGAACCAGGCGATTCGGGACGCACAGACATTGGCCAAAGTGGGCTGGGACATCCTGACTCTGAACTTGGCCAACCAATGGCCATGCCGCGTGATCCTCCTGGAACATCGTCAGTTCCTGGGTCCCCAGCCACACTCGCATGGCCATTTTCCCGGGCGGGAAGATGCTTCGAGTTCGAGCTCAGGAAGTACATCGAGACCTATATCGGGAATTCGCCTCCTGACGCTTCAGGCGCGCATCCGACGTCGCCAGGCCCATCTAGGTCTGAGAAACAGGCCCTGGCCGCACTGCTGCTGTTCTTCATGGCCGACGGAGTGCCTTCGAGCTATATCTGCTCCAGGGCGGTATAACGAGCCCTGTGATGCAGAGCGCCCAGAACACATGGAGCGGTGAGCCTGCGATTGGGGTCAGGAGGTGGAACCACAAAAAAGCAAGGGCTTGGATGCCAGCTCCAAAGCCACTGGAACAAAAACAACCAAAACAACAAAAACATGTGGAAACCGGTTTTGATGAGTTTGCCTAAAGCAACTCAAGTCTAAAGGTTCAAATGAGCAATAGACGCTCGCAAAAGCTGCTGCATCTTTGCACTCAAACAGGCAAAAACCAAATTGAAGTTCGAAGATCGAGGAATTCAGAGGTGATTAGACACAAACAAGCTTTCAACACTTGGCCTGATGTTTTTCAGGGCCACAGGTCCTCCCGCTTGGTCGGTCATCCCTGCAGCCAAGCGGCTTCTCAGTGCCGCCGCCACCTCGGGGGGCTTTCAGCTGAAAACCGCAGGCCGGTTTGGGGACAACAAAGACCGGCCCCAAAAAAGAATGAGCCCAAACTGCAAAGGGAAGTGGTAGAATGAATGGAGTCAGCAGGAAAACAGCTTGCCCAAAGCTGGTGTTTCGGAGGGCAGGAGCCTGTGGGGTTTGCAACCAAACCACGTGAGAGCCAACTGAAAATGGCATTAAAGCATATTGTTGCTGCTTTGTATCAAAAGTCACTTGGCCAAACACACCTTCTCCCGGTGATGACTCACGCCAGACAGGGCCAATAGACTGCAGAAGCCTCAACTTGTTTGGGAAACAGGCAAGTGTGTTCTGTCTTGGGATCCCTTTCAAGACTGCTGCATCTCTCCGTGCAGCTCATTTCAGACTGGAGCTCGGTGCGATGGCTTGATCAGGGACACAATGGAAATATCAACAGACATCGATCCCTGGGTATGAGCGTCAATAGAGAAGCGCCTCCAAAGTTGCTTTGGTCTCTGGTGCTGGCGATCTGTGGCAAGTTCTGTAGCTCCGGCGTCATGAAAGGTGGGCCGGTCTTTCGATTGGAGCATATGCTTTCCTGGTGTCCATGTATGTCAATGGACTTGTTCAATCAGATCTGAAGAAAATTGCCCCTTTTTCACGGAATCACAATGGGTCTCAGACGATTTGCTCGCAAAACGAAACTTGCTTCAACCTTTGCGCTCAATCCGTGAGTGTTTTGTGTGTGGACAATCGCTTCAGGGTTTGTTGTGATCCTTGCCTCGGTGTGCGTGTTTTCACTTTGCAAAGAGCGTCCGCGGCTGGCGCGGACGCTTCCCTTTTGTTGAACTGGACACTTCTCAAACACATGTTGAAAACTCGGAAGCAACCTGCTGGAGGCCTGTGGTGCGGTCGGACTGGGAAGCAAGGGGGCCCTTTTCATTTGGCGCTTGTAATTTCCTGGTTTCCCTAACTGGCAACAAACTACACGCACAATGTGGTCTTCCAAAGACAAATGGGGGTGGCTCAACATTAAACAGAAGGGGTCACGCAGGCGTTGGTCCATGTTTCCACTTACCAGGGATCCATTTTGGTACCGGTTTTTTGAGCCACAGCCAAATGAATGTTCATACCAAGGCAGGGGGGGGAAAAACCATGCCACTCGAAGACCTTAGGAGCAGTCCAGGTGGCTCAACAGTCCAACCTTGGTTGCTTTCTGCTCCCCTGCTGAAAGTTTAACTTTTAGTGGTTTAATGGAAAACCCACTAGTTAGCAAAAAGTTGCTAAAGTCCTAACATCCAAGCAAAATGCGCCAAAGCAACAGGAGAATCAACCGAAGCGAGCCCAGTCTTCCACTACCTACTGTGGATGGTTGCAAAATCCATTTCGCACCACCTAAGATTTCCTGGAATGAGTCAATTCCACTGTAAATACCCTCAAACAAATGGTGTCCCATGTTTCAAAGTGGTCCGAAATGGATTTTGCAACCATCCACAGCATGGCGAATCCTCCGACGAATTTTCCGTCACTCGGGGCCCATGCCAAGCAGCAGCTCCTTTCGCACCTCCTCTAGCTCCTGACCGCGTCGAAGCACGGTGCCGTTTGGAGATCCAACGGACAGGAAAAAAAAGGGGGAAAACTGAAGAAGAAAAAAAAGGAATCGAGTTTGCCAGCGCTGAAACGTGGTGAAGAATCAAATCTCAACTAGCTGGCACGGTGACCACCTGCCCAGGCCCCATGAGACGCACTGAGGTCCCGCCTTGGCTTTCACTTTGAGCTCTTCCCTTAGGACCTGAAGCCGAGCCGAAATTCCGCTGAGCGGCACCTACAACAGTCAGCTTGAGACAAACACTGGGCTCTCCAGTTCCAGCGATGCTTCAGGGCAACACTTGGCTTTTGAAAATTCCGGCTACTAGGTGGCTGGGTGGTGTAGTCCAGAATTGCTTTGACCATTCCCTCCGAACCGCAAAACCAGTAGCTGAACTGTGAGCCAAACGGTGAACCCATGGCCCGAGCCGTTTTCGCCATGGTGGCGACTAGTTTTTAAGGAAACACCCAAATGGGCAATGCCAGCTCTTGCTGTTTTAAGTACGGTAAACTGAAGCACGCCTTGTTGCTTGGCGTGGCTCGAGGTTGGTGCCCGAAAGTTTCAAGAAGAAAGCCAGGCGCACTCAGTGCGCACGGTCGTGCTGAATTCAAGTCAATGGTTCGGACACGAGAGCTGTGATCAAATCACATGAATCTAAGACTGCCAATCCCAGCCACTTCCAAGAACAGACGTGGCATTTTGTCGATGCCACTCATTGCTCTTAGCGCCGCAGTCAAGCTTTGCACGCAGGATGTCACTTCGACAAGATGCAACAGCACGATTGCTGGGCAAAGAGCAAGATTGTCGCAGGGTCAATAAAAAGGAGTCTAGTGATGCTGTGGATGCAAGCATGACCGATTGCGCCACAAGCAAAAGGGCCAACATAGTACAGCAGCTGCCGCTGCGTCGGGAGCATCACAACCATCGATACTTCACCCAAAGCGGCCAGTTGTTGGGGGCATTTCTGCAATTGCAATATGAACGATGTGGCTGCTTCCAAAATTCCTTCTTCAACTCAGCTGCATCTTCACAACTTGACCGACTTTACCTGTCAAAGCCCAGCTCAATCTCCATCCGAGCAGCTTCCTTGGGTGAGCGCCCGGATTGCACAGCGCCCATAGCTCTCCCCCAAGGAACGACGAACCAGTTTGTTATTTGGGTACACGTAGACCCTCAAAATAGGCCCCGACAAAACCAATCCCAAAAGGGGTACAGCCCCATTTGCTCACATGTTTCGGCCGAGGCGCTGCTTCCTCCTTGATCAGCTTTGCCTTAGCGGAGAGACGACCATCTGAAAATCATGTCCCTGGACTCTAGACCATGCAAACCACTCTTCAACCACACCTTGCACCAAATCAAATGATATGGCTATGGGTCAAAATAGGTACCCCAAAATGGAACCATGGTAAAATGGACACATGGACTTAAATCTGCAGTCCCCTGGTGTGTTAATTTTGACCCACGCCATGGTGTGAATCCAAATGACTAGTGCCCAACCGGAAATCACCGGCTTTTCTTGGGTCCCCGAGCCCGCTCGGCGGGCGGGGCTGACTTGGCCTGCGCAAGGCTCCCCAATCGGGTCCCCGAACATCTCGGCAGACTCAGGCAGGCGGTGAGCTCAACGCCTACCCCAAGTTGGATCTGTGTTTGTGGGGTTGAATGAGGGTACCCCCTTTTAAGAGCGGGAAAGGGAAAACCCCAGGAAACCCAACAAGTCGGAGGGTCTTTTGAGACAATCCCATGTCGGGTCCTGTAAGGGACACTCGGCAAGTCTCGCAGCCGGCGAATTCAATTGCCTGGCTTCCAAAGAGCTCCGGAGTTGTCTCACTCGGAGCCGCTAGGTCGCTGGGTATGACCCTGAACAACTCAAGGCCCTGAAGGAGCATATGTTCAAACCTCACATGTGTGAGACACGGTTCACGGCGAATTCCTAACCCTGTCTGCAAATCCACTGAGATAGGGACAGCACGCAGCCGCAGCAACCCGTCCATCCCCGGCACTGACTCACATTGAGACAACCAGCCCCTCCCACCGCCTCCCGCGAATGAAAAGAATCAGTTGGGTTCCGTAGATGAATCCTTCTCATGAAGCATAGATCGCACATTGCTAGACCTAACTATGTTCACATCACTAAATCACGCATGGCTGTTAACTCGAAGCAACGCAGCTCACCATGCGTCACTCATGCTGAAGTCCCCCGCACACACACTGAATAGCGATCTTAATTCAACAGTCAGAGTCCCTGAATTCAAAGGACTTAGACTTCAAATTGATGAAATCAAGAAGCGCAGCGCCGCCACCCGCCCACCCCCACACCCCCGCCAACCGATTCTTCTGAAACGCTGGCACTGTTTTGCCATGGAGAACGAGGAGGTGCTTCATGCACCGGCTCCAGTTTAGAAGTACTTGTCATCCAGAAAACAGGGACTA